TGTGCCAGCCTCAGGCAAGGCCTTCTCATCACCCCGTGGCAGAAGATAGGAGGGTATCTAGAGCAACCTACCAGTCCGGCAGTGGGGGTGCACACCTTTAATCCCAGCACTCAGGAGGCAGAGGCGAGGGGATCTCTGAGTCTGAGGCCAGCCTGGTCTACAGCTCCAAAACAGCCAGGGCTACACAGTGAAACCTTGTTTTGATGCAAACAAACAATGCCCCCCCCCCCAAAAAAAAAACAAAAAACAAAAAACAAAAAACAGCCTACTAGTCAGACTAGTGGGAACTAACCCTTGCCCAGGGCCTCACATTGACTCACCCATCAGGCTCTCACAGGCCTGTTGGGGTGGGCTGGCTCCATCCTCATTTCTCAGCGGGGGAGATCACACTGGTATCCTCCCCGCCCCTCCCCCACCCAAGGGCGGGTGTGCTACATTCTACCCCAGACACAGACACATTTCCTTTGTTTGAGTCAAGCAGCAGTAGGATGCACACCTGTGGTCCCAGCATTTGGGAGGCAGAGGCAAGAGGATCATGAGTTCGAGGCCAACCTGGTCTACAGAGTGAGTTCTAGGACAGCCAGGGCTACACAGAGAAACCCTGTCTTGAAAAGGCCAAAAAGTAAATAAAAATGGAAAAAGCCAGCATCTTAGGAAACCTGAAGAGGGCTAGAGGGGTGGCTTGGATGGTGAGGACACCCACACAGACCGGAGGACCCAAGGTCATCTCTCCTGGGGTTCCTACTCCTTAATAAAGGACTTTTAAGACGGGCTCAAAGGGAAGTTGGAGGGCGATTTTATTAAAGGGAAGCCACCTTCCCGCCTCCCAAAGGGCAGGGAGGTGAGGAGGAGGATGAGAGAAAACCTCCTCTGTCACAATGGAGGTCTGTATGCAGCTGCGCAGCAGAGGAGGTCGGGGGAGCTCCAGAGAAGAGCAAACCCCAAGAGTGCTAGGATCCTTGGTGGCTGCAGGACAGAAAATGACAGCAGGAGAGGAAAAGGCACGCTTCTGGGGGAGGGACTCAGAAAACCCGTTGGGCTGCCTTGGTACAAGCTGAAAGTTGTTGTGAGGGATAAGCATGTTATCGGATTGAGGGGATAATTATTCTTCCCATCTCCTTAGCGTGGCTTTCGTGAATCGGCTTCCCAGGGATGATCCGGCCAGGTGATTGACAGGCCCAGCCAGATTAACTCTTAAGAGAGTTGTCCTGGTTAACTTTAACTCAACTCAGCTGCTACCTAGAGTCACCTGAGAAGGGAGGACTGGGTGAGCAATTGCCTGGCTAAGACTGAGCTGTGGGCCTGTCTGTGAGGGGGAATCGTCCTGACTGTTTAACGTTGCATGAGGACTCCGCCCACCGTGGGTGACATTCTTCCCTGGGCAGGTGACCATGGTTGTTTAAGAAAGCTAGATAAGCACGAGACTGAGTGAGCTGAGCAGAGGTCCCCCATGATTTCTGCTTCAAGTTCCTGCCTTGACTTCCCTCAGTGCTGGACTGTGAACTGAAATAACCTGTTTGCTCCCCTAAGCCGCTTTTGGTCAGGGTGACAGCAACAAAGCAAGCTGGAGCCGGGTGGTGGTGGCACACGCCCTCAATCCCAGCACTCGGGAGGCAGAGGCGGGCAGAGCTCTGAGTTCCAGGCCTGCCTGGCCTATGACATGAATTCCAGGGCAGTCAGGGCTACACAGGAAAAAAATGAAAAAGAAAAGAAAAAAAAGCAAGCTAGGAGGGAGGACACAGAGCAGAACGTTGTGTCTCCACCCAAGGCCAGAGGTAGATTCCATTCTTTTGACCAGGAGGACACAGCTTTCCCTTAATAGGCTTGGAAAGAGCCTTTGCTCCACCCCCGTGGCCTCCGAGGCTGTTTCTCTGATTCCCATGGCTTGGACTCTGCTTTCTTGCATTGCATTCCTGAAAATGTGATGCTCAGACACCGCCTGGATTCTTTTTTTTTTTTTTTTTTTTTTTTCCCCATTGAGTAAGAGAAATTAACTCTGAGAAATCAGAGTCTGTCCCAGGCTCCACAGGTTGCTTTGGGTCAACTGACCTCCAAAAGGCAGCATGAGGGTGCTGGTCAGGTGACTGAGCAGCTGGGTGCTCTTCCTGCTTTTGCAGGGGCCTGAGTTTTGTTCCTATGGTGGGCAGCCCACAAAGACGAGAAACTGCAGCTCCAGGGCATCCAACGCCCTCTTCTGGCCTCCATGGGCACTGCACACACACACACACACACACACACACACACACACACACACGAATAAAAACGAAATAAAGCAGCAGGAAGGAAAGATACTTCCAGCAACCTTATTGTCTATATTAGCATATGTTATTATAACATATTTGTATATACAGCCATCCCCCTGTGCCTGCAGGGGTGGGTGGGTGGGGATTGTGACGTCTGACCTTTTGACCTTGCAACATGGCCTCTGCTACAAGTGTGTCCGGCAGCACTCATCACTCTCTGGGGTGGACACACTTGCCAGGACAACAACACAGAGTTGTTGCATCTTCACTGAATCCTGCCCTGGAGGCATTTTAAACCTCCAGTAGACACGGCCAGGTTCTGGACAGATACTATAGCATTGTAAATAAGGGACGTGAAGGGTCAAGCATTTGGCTGCGTAAGGGCATCCTGGCAATGTGTGTAGACACGGAACAACGACTGTATGTTCGTTTTAGCTGATTATTTTATTGTACTTAATATTTCAAACAAATTGAGACAGGATCTTGCAACATATCCTGAGCTAAAAAACTAGGACGTGCTGTGTAGCCCAGGCTGGACTCCTGCTCAAATTCTTCTGGCCTCAGCCTCCCAAATGTCAGGATTACAGGTGTGTGCCAGACTGCCCTACCCTTAACAGTTTCAAGCAAGCTTTAAAGAAAGCTTAGCTTATTCTTTTTTTTTTTTTTTTTTTTTTAATCCTGTGTCTTTGTGTGGCTGTGTGCATGTGTGGGAAGGTTCCCTGGGAGGCCAGAGGCATCAGCGCTCCAGGAGTTACGAGCAGTTGTGAGTGATGGGTTTAGCTCACTTAACTGCCAGACCACTTGTCCGGCATTCCCCCCCCCCCCCCGCCCCTAAGCTCTGAAGGAAGATAGCACATCTGAGTATGAGTGGAAGTGGGAATCTCTTCTCTTGTCTTTTTCCGGGTCTCCTCCCCACGTGGGTGTGACTCTCCAGAAATACATTATCTCTGCACAAGCACACACATGCACACACACCTAGTTTTGGTCCCTTGTCAGGGTGCCTAGAGATCTGCTGACACCTGAACGCAGGGTACCACTCACCACAGACAAGACAGTCACTCTCAGCCTGCCGGTTGGCCTCACACTCACCTGGACCCTCAGGAATCTGGGTGAAGAGGTGAAAGACACAGACCCGAGCTTTCCCACAACCCAGCTGCCACTCTCCAATGCATGTAGTTTCTATGGTGTCCAGCAGAGGGAGACACCATCCTACTCTTGGGACCACCAACGGTTTTTGTTTTGTTTTGTTGTCATTTTGTTTTGTTTTGTTTTTTAGCTGTTTTCCCCCAGGGGTATTCAAACTCGTGGCTTGGTGAAGGTGAAAAGATTTCCTGAGCGGACCTGGCCTGCTCTGCACTTCATCCCTGCCCAGACCTCTGCCAGCCCTGTCCTTCCTCTGCTTCTAACTCTCTCTGTGCTTGCCGCTTGGGTACCGCCCTGAGGGAGGGGACTCCTCTCTGGAGAGGCAGGGAACCTTGCCCTAGCTAGGGCCTGGAGCTCAGGAGTTGCCCCAGGAAACACAGGCTAATATGACTAGGTGAGCTACATCAAGGAGGGAGGCCTTGATGGGAAGTGGGGTGTGGGGAGATGCTTTTCCTGACCCTGAAGACCCTTGACCCTAAACTCCCTTTAACTCTCTTCTCCACACCCACAGCAGCAGCCTCTCCCTATCCTGGTGCCCCTGAGGCTCCACCCCACCGCCCCCGCCACAGTGTTGGGGGTCCTCTGGAGTCCAGCTGGTGGCCGAATAGAAGCCACCCCTTTCCTGGCCCTGCCCCTCCCAGTGACCCCAATCCTCTGCCAGCGACTCAATGGTGCCTTGTTCTCCATCCAGCCCCCAGACAAAAGTCCTTCTGTGTGAGAAAGGCAGAATTTGGGGGGAGGGGGCCCCTCCAGCAGGGACCACGCAGGAGCCGGTGCAGACCCCAGGCGGAAGGAGCACCATGAGCAGGGGGGTAGGGAGAGGAGGAGGGCAGGGTGTGGGCTTGCGGAGCACAGGGGCAGTGTGCTTCCTCATCATCGGCAGTGGAGGAAGGCAGCTTTGACATCCACACCCTTGCCATCAGCTCCGCACCTCTGGAAGAAACGTGGAAAGCCAGTGCCACTCTCAGTCTTCTGGGGCCTGGTCCACGAACCCCGAGATCCACAGCTGCCCTGCCCACCCTCCCTCCCTCTACCCACCATCCAAGTGCCTCCTTCCTGTTACAGCATTGGCCATGTCAATACCTTCCTTCTGTTAAGCCGACAGAGGATCCAGGACCAGGACGGAGAGAGAGGGCTTTGACTCCTCCTAAATGCCAGCAGTTCCACCCCCAAACAAAACCTGCAACTGGTGGCGCCCGCTTTTAATCATCTGCCTCCGCAGGCAGAGACAGGTGGCTCCTGAGAAGGTCCAGTCCAACCTGGTCTCCAGCGTGAGTTCCAGGCCAGCCAGGGCTATGTAGCGAGACCTTGTCTCAAACAAACAGAGAAAAATCTCCCTGCCCGCCCCCACCGCAAGTTAAACCAGAGAAGGATCACATGGACAGAGGTTCCGCTTTCTCCCACATCACTCCAAGAGGATGGTCTGTCATGAGGGACCCCAGGACCTTTCCCATTCCGGTCTCCTTTGGCGTTGGTCCCGGCCCACCCTGATCCCCTTCCGATTCACCTGAGCCGACTGAACCTAGAGAATGGGTAGAACTGTCTCTTTAAGGGAGGGATGGAGAGGGGGCGTCCCTTGCCTCAGGGAGACCTGACTTGTGCCTGCCTGCCCAGGTTTGCTCAGGGCGTGGCAGCTGTGCATAAAGGCTGCCCCGGCTTGGCAGCCCGCATTCTGCTCTCTCCCGGAACCACCACTCACAGCCTGTTGAGCTCCTCAGGTGAGCCGCCCTGGGGGCCCTTTCACCCAGAGCCCTTCACCTCTGCTCCCCTACTCTCCCTGACTCTCCTCTGACTGTCCCTACTACAGAGAAACTGGGGTTAAAGACCCTATAACCTTCCAGCTTAAAGATTCTTTTCTGGGGACAGGAGACTACCTTCCCCTGTCAGCTGGCTGCCCCCCATGGCTCGCTTCTATGGGTCTATACAACCTGGGTAACCCACCTGGCATTCATAGTGAGACTGAGGAAGTTTGGGGGGGGGGTTCTGAGTGAATGAGAAGTCTGGGTTTACCAGAGGTACCTGAACTAGGTGAGGGTGTCAGGGCAGACAGGAAGAGATTCCGTAGGGTCATGATTGGGGGTTTCTTGGTGGGTGAGGGCTGGGCATATCTAGAGGAAATAGACAAAGAGTAACTTAGGTGTCCTGGGAGGTGAAGCAGACGGGGTGTGTATCTTGGTGGACAGGTGTTGGGTGGGGCACACGGATGACGAGTGGGTCCCAGGAAAGCAGGGTGATCTGGTTAGGGAAGCTTTAACATAGGACTTGGTCAGGCGACGGGCCGGGACTCATGACCAGGGCTTCCGCAGCAGCATACCCCTGCACCATCTTGGAAGAGGACAGAGTGCAAAAGGCAGGCCAACCACTGTCCCTCACACAGCCAGGAAGAACACGAGGCTGGAGAGCGCCCCGGGCAAAGCTGTTTCTCCCTCTTTTGTGCTGGCTCCCGCTCTGGTTCCCTCCGAAGCGGGCAGGCTCTGTTCAGAAAGCAGCACCGGCAGGACGGGGCAGTGAGGGCAGAGGCAGAGGTGGTTTGGGGCTCCCCTCAGCCCTGCAAATGCCAGGGTCAAGACTGGAGAGTCAGGGCTATGGATGAGACCGATATCCCCCCCCCCCCGCTCCCATCCAGGCTCCCGAATTTGGGGTGGTTTTGTGGAAATGGGGGGTTGTGGGCCTTGGAGGCCTTGGAGGGGGTCTGTAGGGAGAAGTGTAAGAGGAGAGGCCCAGCAGCCATGGTGACGGAGAGTACACCATTAAGATGAATTCAGACATAATGGCTGTGACAGCCATGTGGGATCACGACAGTGCCAGCTTCATCAGGCTGTGAAGATGATATGAGGGCTTCAGGGTCGAGCTGAGAGAAAATGGCCTGCATGGGCTGGGCACGCAGCAGGAGCCAGCTGCCAAGGCTAGTGTGTTTACGTGCACAGGTGACAGAGTATGAGGAGGCAGGCGACCTTAGACCGCAGGCACCAGCTGTGTGTACCTCTAACCACTACTCCAGCTCCCCAAAATGAGCTGGGGCCATAGAGGTCTGGGAAGCAGTCACCAGATCTACTGCAAGAAATATACACTCAATCTAAACTAATGGGTGTGTGTGTGTGTGTGTGTGTGTGTGTGTGTGTGTGTGTGTGATGAGTATTAAATCCAGCGCCTGAGGATCAGGCTAAACAAGCCTCCATTGCTAGACCTCACTGGGGCATTCTAGGCAGGGGCTCTACCACTGAGCCACACCCCAGCCCCTCACTGGGGGGTTCTAGGCAGGGGCTCTATCACTGAGCCACACCCCAGCCCCTCACTGGGGGGTTCTAGGCAGGGGCTCCACCACTGAGCTGCACCCCCCATCCTTTTTTGAAGTTTTTATTTTGTGCCAACATCTCGCTGCACTGTTCGGACTGGCCCGGCACTCTCTGTATCCTCGGTGGGCTTTGAATTAGTGGTTCTCCTGCCTCAGCTTCCCTGGCAGTTTTAGTGACAGGCTGATCGAGTTTTAGTGATGATCGAGATGAACAGGAAAACTGAAGGATCCCCCAGGCCTTTGGGACCGGGCCGAGAGAAACGGAGACGTCTGTGTGAACATGTGGGACACCCCTGCACCATTGGTGGCTGGTGCCACCATCCCCTTCCAAGTGTGTGCTTTGGTGTGGGTGACAAATGTTAGCGCTGAAGGGTGACATTGGGGCTGCTGGGGATTAACAGAGAGGAATCACTGCAAGGTCACTGGCATGTGGTGGGTGGGGACAAGTGTTAGCGCTCGCCATCCTGCTGTGTGTGTGCGTGTGTGTGTGTGTGTGTGTGTGTGTGTGTGTGTGTGTGTGTGTGTGGAAAGGGGCTCTGTGCTGAGAGAACCTCCCTGGAGAACTGGAGAACCGTGGAGTGCAGCCAGGAGCTGGGACAAACCCAGAGGCTGCCCCAGGGTGTGATTCAGGGTGGAGGACAATGGCTCGAGCGGAGCTGGAACTGGGGGGAACGCTCAGTGGGGTGTGAAGGGACAGACCCAGCGGTGAGGCTACAGCCAGGACCCCCTGTGAACACGCCTGCCAGCTTGACATCACTCCCGAATGCACCCACCCAGCAGCCCAGGAAGTCAGCCCAGGCCCCAGCTAGAAGCCGGCAGCGTGTGGGCAGAGCCGGGCAGGCTCCAAGCTGTCTGTGGGAGCCACTCCCGGAACCCGGGCCTCTTGCCACCTGGCTCCTGACACCCCATTCCCCAAAACACCCCAAGGCCCTCTCAGTTCTGGGTTCTGAGCATCTAGCGGGGCATTGTTTAAGTCCTGCTTTCTGGACCAAGCCATCTTGGACATCAACTTTCACCTCCCTCAGTTTCCCCAAAGCTGGATGTGATGGTGCGTACCTGTATTCCTAGCACTTGGAGAGCTGAGGCAGGGGGATGGCAAATTCAAGGCTTGCCTGGGCATGACAAAACACCTTAACCCTAATCCTCCTCTCTCCAAGAAAAAAATTCATTCACGGTAAAACCTGGAGTAAAAACTGTGGGGGAAATGGCCTCTTTGCACATGGAACCTGAGTATACACCCAGCCCCCACTTGACTTTGGGGCTTCTTATCTCCCAGCCCAGTGAGCAGTGGGTTCACAGCCAGCCTTCCTGTGTGTTCCCTGGGCTGTGCTCCCGGTGAGCAGGTGGGACAAAGGCACAGGGCCTTACGTCCTGGCCCCTCTGCTAAGGTCCGGCCTGTTCTCTGGACTCCTCTAGGTCAGCGCTGTGACATGCAAGAGCTGGCTCTGAGCCTCCTGGTCCTCCTAGCAGGTGAGTGGCCGCCAAACTGCTCCTTCTCCTGGGCCTTTCCATGGTGCGGTGACAAGTGCTGTGTGTGTGTGTGTGTGTGTGTGTGTGTGTGTGTGTGTGTGTGAGTGTGCGCGCGCGCATCATGTTTCCACCGGGGAGATGCCGCTTAATCTTCGGTGACACCAAGCAAAAGGCTCAGCCCAGGGTCCAGGGTACCGTTGTGGTGTTATAGCACCCCGTATACTGTTTTCACAGATGGGGAAACTGAGGCATGAGGTACTCAGGTTGCCTGCTGCCATCAGTGCTAGGCTCCCAGGTGCATGTGGGAAAACAGTCACTTAGTCAAGGGGGTTCCTCGAGGCTTAAATGAGCTGTTGAACAGCAGGGAAACAGGGCCTGGGTGGGGCGGGCCCCAAGCACTGTGCCTCGAATATAATTAGGCATTGTTTTTCTCCGTTAGCAGAACTCCGGCCCAGGGGGAAGCCAGGCGAGCTTTCAGCCAGGACTGAATCCTTACCCCTTTGCCGCTGTGGTTCCCTCCTTCCTTTCTCCCTCTTCTTTGTGTGTGCGTGGCTGTGTGTGTTCATGTGTGTTCATGTGTGTGCAGCTGTGCACGAGCATGATGGGTGCTTTTGCATGTGGCAGCCGGAGGACAACTTTGGGTGTTGTGCCTTGGGAGAGAGCCACCTTATTATTATTATTATTATTATTATTATTATTATTATTATTATTATTATTGTTATTATTAATGTGTATGGCTGTTTTACCTGTGCGTATGTGCTCGGTGACTGAAAGCCAGAATAGGGTGTCAGATCCCCTGGATCTGCAGTTACAGAAGTCTGCGAACCATCACGTGGGTGCCGAGAACAGACCCTGGGTCCTCAACCGCTGAACGCCTCTTTTCAGCCACCTCTCCCCACCTTAAACCACTTTTTACTTTACAATTCTTTGGGCACAAGTAGCATTCTATTTGGAAAAGAGGAGTAAGAGTGCATTGAAGTTGCCGGCTGTGAGTCATTCCAAAGGGGAAGGGTCAGCAGAGCTGATAACTGTGGGGCGTGGCTATGGTGGGGCCAGGGAGGTGGGTCATGAGCGGGGTGTGTGTGTGTAGAGGAAACAGTCCTGGGAACACCTGCTGCCTGGAAGAGCAAGGAGGCAGGAGGCGTGGCCCAGCCACCTGTCTGAAAACATCCACTCAGACAGTGGCCGGAAACTACCCGGAATACGATGGAATACGATCTGTTTCCGGTGGCAAAGTACTGGTATGGTTCACAGGTCGGGGTCGGTGGGTGAACCCCAGGTGAGCCCCTGTCCTCAGGAAGGCACATGTCCAGCTGGCACTAGCCGGCAGCTTGATCCTGTGCCCTGTGAGGTGGGCCTGCTTCCCCATGTCTCACGGGCAATAAACCTCCATGGCGCTTTAGTCATCCCTTGTTCCTGCTTGTCCCCCTCAGGCCTGCCTGCTCTGGATGCCAATGACCCTGAAGGTAAGTCAGAGCCCCTCCCTCCATCCCACTTACCCAAGACCCCTGCTGTTGTCGCAGGTTCACCCACGTGTGTCCTTTCTCTTTGCAGATAAAAATAGCCCATTCTACTACGGTAAGCGCGCTGTCCCCTCTTGGAGTCTTCCCCGTCCTACACATTACTTTATGCCAAGAGTCCCACACAACGACAGCTGGCAGTGCACGGTGACCCAGGGGCTGGGACAGGAAAGGGTTTGAACTGGGCCACTGAGCATCCAAGGAGATGAAAGGAATCAGCCTTCAGGGGAAATTCAAGACAGGCACAGACAGGACCTGAGTCCAGTCCACCAGAGACATTAGGTTCAGATAGACCATCAGAAAGCTGATCATGAAAATCCTCCTGGCGAAGGTGGGGAATTCTACCCCAGTCTTCTCCGCTTCCAGCTTCCACCAGGAGCTTTCCCTTGCCCCTTGCTCCCTCCTTCTCCACTGCCCCGACCCCTGCTGGTCCTTCTGCCTGGACCACTCTCTTCCCTGAGTGGCCACCTCTGACTTCCTGCAGATCTCTGGTCCAATGGGGCCTCCTCAGAGAGCCCTTGCTAGAGCACTCTCCCTGGAGACCCACCCCCTTGACCTCCTACCCCCCAGATTGATCCTTTCTAACCCTAGAAGGGCATGAAATACCTTGCTTGCTTGGCTAGGATCGGCAGTGCGTGCACCACAGGGCTGGGGGTTGCTTCTGTCCTTTACCGCTGTCAAGCAAGTGGTGAGAGAGATGGCGAGGAGGGGCCTGAGCTAGCTTTGGGGTCTCCTTGTGTCCCTCTCAGATTGGGAAAGTCTCCGAGTCGGCGGGCTCATCTGCGCAGGGATCCTCTGTGCCCTTGGCATCATAGTCCTTATGAGTGAGTACAGGAGCTTCGGGGAGGGAGGGAGGAAGCAGGGAAGGGACCCCGTGTTCTCTCCTCTGACCGCATCCCTCTCCAACAGGTGGGAGGTGCAAATGCAAGTTCAGCCAGCAGCCCAGGTGAGCTGGGCTCCGGGCATGCCCCAGAAGGCTAAGTCTTGTGCAAGGATGCCAGGTCTGGGTGCTCTGCCCTGAGGTCCTCTAGACTTGTTATTCGTGGGTAATCATCCCTAGAACGCTTTGGTCCCTAGCTCTGTAGAAACCCACAGTGAAAAACCAGCCAGGAAACTGTCTGGGCAAGCCTGGGAACCCTTTCGCCCCGACGGAGAGCACAGACAGGGGAGGGTTTATTTGAACATTATCACTTTTATTTCCCTAGTCACCGTCCAGGAGATGGGCCGCCCCTCATCACACCAGGTATGGCACTCAGGATGGCTGGGGGCGGCGTGTGGGGGTGAGGCAACGGGGGTGGGGGTGCGCCTGCGCTGGGGAGAAGGAGCTGCATAGACTTTTGCAAACCGAGCCCGTTGCCTCTACCAGGCTCTGCTCACAGCTGCTGACGACGGACCAGCTGAAGAGCACAGAATGCCCCGAGCCAGGGTCCTGGCTCTGGAGGAGCGCTGGGACGCCAAGATGGCGGGTCCCATCCCGTCCTGACACCGCCTTGCCTGTGCCTCGCCTCGCCGCTCATGGCAGCAGGCTCTTTGTTCAGTTTTTAAAATAAAATGAGTTTTACGTCACGCTCAGGTGGGCCACAGTGTCCGTGCGCAGCCTAGAGGGTGGCAGCGGGGAGCTCACTATACCGCGAGACCTTCCCATACACCAGCTGTCCCCGTGAGACGTTTGATGCCCCAGGGACCAAATAATAACGGTGGCGGCGCCCCTCCACTGACCCCAGGTTCTCTTGAGACCCCCACCCCCACCCCTCAGGGCCTCCAGAATGATCCCACGTGCCACCCCAGAAAATGCCTAAAGCTTTTCAAGAGGCCAGTCCACAAGACCCTTCCGCCTTGAGCCCACAGGCCGGGCAGGACCGGTGCGCAGGGGCACGCATTGAACTCACTCATACACTTTCCTGCCCCTGTCACGTTCTGGGAAGGGACACCCAGGGCTTTCTGCGGCATTTCTTCACTCATCATTACTGCTTTACTTTTTCTGTGCGTGCGTAAAGGCGGCAAACAAAACAAAACAACAACAACAAAAACCCCCGTCCCCCATCAGCCTCTGGCAGCAGGCATGCGCACAAGCAGCAAAGTACCGAGCCCGGAAAAAACGGCCCAGTAATGGTGACGTCACAGAGATACCTACTCCTCCACGAAAGCCGAGGGCCAAATTGGGTTTGGGTGGAAAGGAACGCTCTCTCTCAGTACTTTATATTGAGCAGGACCAAGGGGGGTGGGGGAGATGTTGAAGGCAGGACTTCCAGAACTCTCGGGGCCCAGCAGATTGCTGTCTTGATTTCTCTAGCCCGACTCCACACTCTGTCCCAGGCTGGGCTCCCAAGTCGCTGTATATGGGAGCATCTCAGCCAAAATGTGGCTTCAGACTGGAAGGCCCCCATATGTAGTCGGGAGCAGAGAGACCGCCTCCATCTGCCCCTAAGGCGCAGATCCAGGCCGATGCCCTTGGCTAGTGGGCTGTATCACACAGGACTGGCTGTGACAGCCAGGAGGCCCGGCCAGGGAGGGTACCCAGATGTCCCAGCATGCCCTCGCCAGCCCCACAACCCCTTCCGGGGTCCTTCCCGGTCTCAGGCACTGAGATCCAACTCACGGTGCTGGTAGATCTGTGTGGGGCCCTTGAAGCACGCCGCGAAGAGGAAGCGTCTTCCAGCTACCGTGAGGTGGGCAAAGGCTCGGGGAGCCACCAAGGCCGGGGGGCCCAGCTCCTGTAGCGGCTCCAGGATCCCTTTATCAGGCTCAAGGCGGAAGACCTGGCTGAAGGCAAAGTCGCTGCCCAGGATGGCCAGCTGGTCGCTGGCAATTAGCAGTGGCTGGAAGACGTGGGAACCTCGAGACGGAAGTTGCTGCAGCAGGCGGAACATGGAGCCGTCCCAGCGCATGACCTGCGGGAATTGGAAGCCAGTGAGGCCCCAGGTCACGAGGCGTCCGGCCTGCCTGTCATCCTCAAGACTCTGGAAGACTGACAAGAGCCTGTAGGTCCTCAGTTTACCCGAAGCTTTTTGTTTTTGTTTTTGTTTTGTGGTTTGTTTTTGAGTCTTGCTAGGCAGGCGTTGGCTGATAGACTGATCTCACACTCGCCGTCTGTCTGCCTCAGCCCCCCTGGTGCAGAGATGACAGGCCTGTGTGTCACCAACGCTACACCCTGCGGCTTTCTTAACTTGTAGATAATAGCACGTGTCTGTTCAGAGCAAGGCGCCGTTCTAGACCTTTCTCCCTGGAATAACTGATGGGGGTGGGGGCTTGTCCTTGACTGCACCTCACTCTGAAAGGATAGTCCTGGAGGCCGTGAGCAGGGCCTGACCCCAGCCCGACCTCGAGGGTGTTGGGTCCCAAGAGGAAGGGTGTGGACAGAGGCAACTGTCATCCCGGAATGTTCTAGACTTACAGAGCCAAGCTTAGCAGCGTAGAATCAGGATCTTGGAGCAGCTGTGTATTGCCAGCACAGGGCTGAGGCAGGGAAATCATGAGGTTGGGGCTAGCCTGGACTACATACTAAAGACCCTTTATGAGTCTCTGCTTCGTAAAACCAAGGCCTGTAGCTCAGCAGGCAAGCTCTTAGACTTCACCAGAGAAGGCTGGGAGGGTGGCTCAGCACAAGAGCTTATACCTGGAATTCAGCAGAAAGGGGATAGGGGCGTGGCTTAGCGGGGCTTGCTTGCCCAGGATTCATCAGGGATTGGTTGTGGGTGAGGCTTCCAGCCTCCTGTCCAATGAGGGTCAGCGTACGTGACCAGGCCTGGCTTCCACTCACTGCCCGCCTGCCCTCCAGCCTCACCATGGAATCCCCGATGTGTCGTGTCAGGCACAGGAACACGTCTCCACCGGCCTGAAAGTGTTTCGTGGCATAGACGTCCTCCGCCTCCGGGATGTCTGTGCGCCTCTCGAAGTGGCCTCCAACCCAGTGAAAGAGCACAGGCCTCTGGGAGGCCGAAGCGAGCAGCAGGTGCGGCCGTCCGTCCAGCTCCAGGGCCTCGGCGTCCGTGTCGCGGTGCCAGGCGTGCAGGCTCTGGCGTGGGTAGAAGCCAGGCCCGTCGCGGCACAGCAGCGTGGTGCTGCCGGCCTTGGAGGAGTCAGCCACCACGAAGCAGGGCTGCCCATCCAACCAGAGCTGCTCGGCGTCGTTGGGCCGCAGTAGGCGTTGCGGGGCTAGGACCTGCATTGGGGTCAGGCGCAGGTCGGGGCTGGGCCGAGACCACAGCTGCGAGCCCCCCCACAGGCGGGCGGCCAGGATGAAGAGGCGGGGGCCCAGCACCAGGGGCTTGCAGGACACCACAGAGGGCGCTGTAGGGAGAGGGGGCACAGTCAGGCTCAGTGGCGGCCCGGGGACAGGAGGGAAGGGGCCGGGACAGGAGAGTAGCTCACCAGATAGCTCTTCCTCAGGCTGGAAGCGCTGCAGGCTGTAATCCCAGCCCAGGATAAGGCAACGGCCAGCAAAGGGCTGTGCCAGGACCATGTAAGGTTCCCCCTGATAGGAGAAGGGCTCCACGCTCAGGGCCGACTCCCCAACAGTCTGGAGCCAGGACAGTTCTAGGGGCAGCAAGAGAGTCAGGGGTGTTTTGGGGGACAGGACGGGAGACCTCATTGCTGAGCCTGGGTTAGCACATCTTTGAAATGAGATTTCATAGCGTTTACCATAGAGGGACCTATAGAGTGGAACCTTTCCATCTACAGATGGGTTAACTCTCAGACACTCGAACGTCTTTCTTTTCAAAGCTGTGTGGCGTCAGCAAATAGTCCAGCATTAGCCAGATGTTGTGGCAAATGCTTGTGATCGAAGCCTTGGGAAGCTGAGGCAGGAGGATCTCTGTTTGCTGGTCAGCCTGGGCTACACCGTGTGACCCTGTCTCAAAAACACAAAACAAAGCAAACAGCATGTTTAGTTACTCAGTTAGCTTTACACCGGAAGCCCTGCGTGTTTCACTCTGAACACCATGAGAACCTGAGGGTAAGTGGCCCAGGCAGCCAGCTCTCCAATGACATTCATTCTCCAGCTGGAGCTGAGCGCAGAAAACAAGCCTGTCAGCCCAGCTGCAAAGGAGAATGAGGCCTGAGGATGGGAAGTTTAAAGCCATATGGAAGACAAGAGTTCAGGATAGTCTAGGTAACTTAATGGAGATGCTGTCTAAAATAAGAAAGTTAAATGAGGCCAAGATGTATGCAGCTCCATAGTAAATCCCCTGCCTGGAATCCCCCAGTGAGGGGCTGGGTGTGGCTCAGTGGTAGAGCTCCTGCCTAGAATCCCCCAGTGAGGGGCTGGGGTGTGGCTCAGTGGTAGAGCTCCTCCCTAGAATCCCCCAGTGAGGGGCTGGGGTGTGGCTCAGTGGATGACCCCCTGCCTAGAATCCCCCAGTGAAGGGTTGGGGGACGTGGCTCAGTGGTAGAATGCTTATCTAACATGTAGAAGACATGTTTATCTAACATGTTTAATCCCTAGGAACACACACACTCCTTTTTTCATGTAGCAGGGAGATGACCGTCAGGCAGTCTAGCCAGAAGGTTCCCCTACTAACACACTCCCCAGATATCACCATCAGTGTCACAACAGACAGTGTGATGTTCGCCTAGCTGTGCGAACGTGACTTGTTCTGGACCTCGTCTCTTTCACCTCCTTTTTTGCACCTGAAAGCACACACAGAGGTCACAGCCCGGCCGGAACCATGAGAACAAAGGCAGCAACCAGGGCGAACCTCACCCCCACAGACAGCTCATCTGGTTCCATTTGTGTTTATTTGTGGGGCTGCATGCAGGACACGTGTGGAGGTCAGAGGGCAAGTGGGAGCTGGTTCTCTCCTTCCATCAGGTGGGTTCTGGGTACTGAACCCAATTCATCAGGTTGGTGTCACGCGCTCTTAACCACTGAGCCAGCTCACCAGCCCAAGAAATTCCTAGGGTTTTTGTTTTGTTGTTCTTGGTTGGTTGTTTGGTTGGTCTTTCCAGACAGGGTTTCTCGTGTAGCCTTGGGGCTATACTGGAACTCACTTTGTAGACTAGGCTGGCCTCGAACGCACAGAGACTCACCTTCCTCTGCCTCCTGAGTGCTGGGATTTAAGGTGTGTGCCACCACCAGGGACATTTACACAAAAGGAATCTCCTTTTGTTTGGGCTTTTTGAGATACCTCACACTGGCCTCACAATCCTCCATCCTCCCCGCCCCCTCTCCAGTGCTGGGATTACAAGTCTGTACCACCATGCCCTGCAGAATCTTTTAAAAAATGACCTTTAAATCATGAGCATTCCTGGGCTTGAGATGGCTCAGGGGGTACGGGCGCTTGGCAGCATGTCTGAGGGAGCTGAGCTCAGCCCCAGAACCCATGCGGTGCAACCCACGGTGGCTCCCACTTGTCCTCTGAGCTCTGCACAGCTGCCATGGTACAAATGCACATGAACACACACACAACACACACACGTTAAAATGTAAAAGAGAACTGTTGCTTGCTGTTTGAGCCCTTGGCTTCCTGGTCCAGGCTCTGGGCTCCCTACTCTCAGACTCTGCCTGAGCCTCCCAGCCCTGTCCCCACCCTCTGCCTGTGCCTCCCCATTTTTAAAGGGCTCCTGCTGGACTGTTTGGGTTGCCTGACTTTTACTTAACAGTAGCCTCGGAGGATTGCTGCAAGCTTGGGGCAAGCTTGGGCTCCATAGTGAGGAGCTGTCTTAGAAAATAAAAATAGCCACGAGCAAGGGCTGAGGAGATCGATGGCTTCGTGTGCGCGCTGTCCTTGGAGAGAATGGGTTCCCAGCAGGACAGTGTACAACTGCCTGTAACTCCAGTTCCAGGGGCTCTAACACCTCTGGCCTCTGAGCACATCTGCACCAAATGTACACACACACACACACACACACACACACACACACACACACACACACACCAGTGATAATAGTAATAGTATAATAGCCTCTTGTCCCAGGACTGGTACAAAAGCTTTGCAGAAAGCAAGCGTGGTGGTTCATGCTTGCAAGCCCAGCACACAGCGGCTGGAGGAGACAAGGGGATCACAAGTTCAGTGCCAGCCTTGCCTGTGAGTTGAGACCCTGTCAAAAAGAAGAGAAAAATACTGCACAGCCCTGACTCCTCACGGAGGTCTGGGACTACTGTTTATGTCCCTGTCTCCCGGAGTGAGGAAACTGAGGCGCAGGGAGGTTGTGTCCTCAACTCCGTGCTCCTGACACACCCCACCCTCGCCACCTCCTGCCTTGTGAGGACCTGTTGGAAGCCTTCACCTGTGGCTCTGCACTTGAACTTCTTAGGGTCCAGGTGACTGAGTTGCATTTGGCTAAGGGAGGAGGGGCCCGCACAGGCCCCCATGCCCACACTGGCATTCACCGTAGGCGCCCACCGCAGCAGCCAAAGAACTCGGCAGTCACATTGGAACAGGTTCCCACGGAGGTCCCTGGGGCGAGAGAGAAGCCGGGGGTGGGGGGGAGCTGACCCAATTTCCGTGGTCTAGAGTCACCTCTGCAGGGGAGGATCTAAGATGGCACCCTCAGATGAGAGCAAAGGGTAGCAGACTCATCCTTGCGGCTGGCATGCTACCCCAGGCAGCCCAGGACTCCCTCCCTAAAAGCCCTCCCCAGCCCCACCCCCACCCCCCTGAGACTGAGCTCACACATGAGTCAGAGTCTCCAGGCCTCGGAACAGGAATCTGGGGAGAGCCTCCAGGTGGTTGTTAGCCAGGCTTCTGATGGAGCAGGAGGAGAAAGAGTGTGAGCCTCGGCCAGGAGACGCCATGGCCCTGAGGGCGAGGCGGGCTGCCTATGACGGAGGGGCCGGGCTGTGGAGATACACACAGGTGAGTGAGTGAGCGGAGTCCTCTCAGGGCGTTCTTGGAGATGGAGCCGATCTTGTTGTCCTCGATGAAGCTGTGGAGAGAGGGTGCGGTGAGGGGGAGGCCAGGCCCTTGGAAGCCCCTGGAAGGGTTGCTTCCTCCTCCGTCAGCGTGAACGATCACAGGGAAACCGCTCTTCACCAGGGCTGCTCTTAAAGTTGCCGGGGTCTTCGCTCTATGGTCATTGTCAGGCTCATAAACATGGCCGCCATCACCACCACCACCACCCTGGTTCCGTTGGCACCAGTGCTGTCAACACTACTGCTGGTATCCCCGACTCAGTACCAATAAATGCCGTTAACCCTGGCATCATGCTCAGCTTAATCATCTCCACCACCTCCCATCAACACCTATTACCAAATCCAACACCACCAACAAAGGTAGTGTCCCCAAACACCTCTGTGATCAGAACCAAGGCTGCTGTCACGGCGCCAGCACCGCCACCATTGTTAGAAACCTCAGCTGGCACCGACAACATCGCCGCCACCATTAACATTCACACTGTCACCACCACCATGACTTTCATGAATGCCGGCATCGTCATCACTGGTAGACCCAGAGCCAACAACGCTGTGAAAGCTGACAACAGGGATGGGACATGGCTCTGCAGGTAAAGGTCTGATAACACAAGTGTGATCTCTGGGACCCATGTGGTGGAAGAAGAAGATATGCTTTTGCAAATTGTCCTCTGACTTCTATATGTGGGCTATGAGGGGCTGGGGTGTGGCTCAGTGGTCGATCCCCTGACTAGAATCCCCCAGTGAGGGACTGGAGTGTGGCTCAGTGGTAGAGC